CCCCCCAGCCAACTTGACTCAGTCCTTTCCGCCTCAACTTTGATGCTCTCGCCTGTGCTCTCCTCGCCTAGATAGCGGCCCACGACTACTGTGACCTCACACACTCAAACTCTGCCACACTGTGATTGGCTCCAAAGTTCTCCTCCTCTAAGGCTCAGTTTTAGAGGTCTCACCCACTCCAAAGTTCTCCTCCTCCAAGGCTCAGTTTTAGAGGTCTCACCTTCCTTCTTGGGGTTAGGAGTAGACCGCACCCTCCCATTTCAAAAAACCTCAAAATTTAGTAACTGCTAAAGAAAGAAAAATGGTGCACACAAACAATTACTTTATTACTGGTTAGAGATGCTGCGAAAGCAACCAAAGCACAGACTGATTGAACTAAACTGGAACCGTTATGAGGGTCACCTTTCTTTGCGAACATAATTCGAGTGAGGTAGGTTTCAATGCGAGCAATCCATGCACTCTTCTACCTCTATTTGCTCGTAATCCACGTGTGAGCCAGGGGTGAGCGCGAGCTATCTCGTATATTAGTTTACATTTGCTCTCATTAGTCAATTTGTAAGGCCCTAGTGCTGCTGTCGCGCAATATTGAGTCACGACAATGGCACACCTGTAATGTTCGCGGACAACTTTATCCTACCCGCAGAAAAGATTGTTCTGCACATTCTCTTCCGGTGTTGTTGCATTCGCCTTCAACATCTCCTTCTGCATACCACCTTCCCCTTCAATAAAAAAAATCACTGCTTATCTTTGTGTGACGTCATGTGGGCAGAAATACGGCGTAGTTGTGATTACATAGTAAAAAAAAGTAGCAGAATGCGAAACTCACCCAAACGAAGCACAAGAAATATTCTTTAAAAATTTTTGTAATTCGCTACCACTCACCTCACTGAAAGACTGAGCAATGATTTTCGAGGCAGCAATGTCGACTCTTCTTCTTTCATCCGAAACCTCTGATCTATAAGCATCCGATGCACGCAGGTGCCTAAAAATGAAGTTAACAGAAGGAAAATAGAGTACCGATCCCATCCACCTTATTTGCAAAATATATTCACCTCTTAGTTAAGTTGACGATTTCATCCTTCGGAAACGCTGTGATGCGAGTTGGATCAAGAAACAAACTATTCTTTACGTTGCTGAATGAGCACTTTCCTTCCACCACCGCTCGAGCAGCAAACTGAATGAATCCACATTAAAGACCTGGGCAGAACAGAAGAATAATCACTAAGAGTCATTGCGCAAACCTTTTTTTCCTCGGCAACTCGATGTCTCAATGCAGCAGCCGCACTGATAGCAGCTTGGCGCTTCTCAATGCGTCTAATAAGATCAGGACGATTTGATATCAAGCATAACTGGAAAAAAAACTATGACGGTTTTAGCGAACACTGTGCCGAAGTACAAATCTCAGCGGGCAATGCACAAAAATAAAATCCGGAATGAATACCGAAGGAGGGAAGAGGAGTCTTCCAATCTGGATGATTGTCTTCTGAACGCGGTGAAAGACCTTCTACGACAAAGAGGTTGCGACCTATAAATGGGGTGCATTAAAAGTTAAAGCAAATGATAAAATGTGCTTAACTCAACGCACTGATAATATTCCGCGGGACGACGCCGCAGGTATCGGTGGTTCCTTCCTGATTTTTCGAATCCATAGCATTACGTGGAAGATTAGCGACCTAAGAAGAGGTGAAAATTGAGAACCAACAAAATGCATTCGGATGAAAGGTTAGAATCCATTCAAAAAATATTTATAGACAAAAACTGAGTTCGTTAATGTATTATGCTAACATGACTAGGCCCATTTTCTTGCCCCATAATCGAAATTTGAAAGCCCACGCCCTACTGATCATTCAAACTAACGACCGCCAAAGTAAAAGCCGGGGCGAGAGCACAAAGTCGAAAATATCGTCCCGAAGAAAGTAGTCAGACGAGAAGGAACAAAACTACTTGACAGAGCTGCAACTTCCAAAAGAAATATTGAAACAGACTCACATACCTGAAAACACAACTCGCAGTTCCAGTAAACTCGATCCTCTTTGGATGGCGCAGGATGACAAATGTTTCATTAGAACCAGAGGCGTGATCCGAATCAACATTAAGAAGAGTCTGAAATAAACTAGGGCGAATCGCGCGCAGTCATTTTATACGAAGTGATGTTTTAGGGTAATGTTTATTACGAAATTGAGTGAGATACTGTGCCGCACAGGTACAATGACGAATGCTGTTCGAAGCCACGTTAGTATCTTACATTTGGAAATCCGCCGGTTCGGATATTGGTGATTTCATTAAAAGGAAAAGTTTACATAATCGTTCAGAATAATCGCCAGATCGTCAAATCACAAAAAGGTCTCATGTGGCGGATTTAACCCAATCGATCGGATCTAACCTTTTCCACCGAATCGCGGAACCTTTAAATCGTCTAATGTCCAAACTGATATGTATAGGTTCCTATCAAGGGTATCGCCCAAGCCATCCAAACAGCTAATGTGACGCTACGTAACGACATGTTTCAACTAAGTAAAGATGTGCCCACCAAACTGTCACCACTTGCCATCTTGCACAAAATCACTCAAGCATCTTAGGTCGCAGTCAGCTGGTTTCCATAGATATAGAGGGTTCGTGCATATTGGTCCTGTTTTTTATCTTTAGATCATTTGAACACAACAATAGAGTCGCCTAGTGTATAGTAAGCCTATTTAAGTGTACAGCAAGCGGTGGAACATGACGCATCGTTTATACCCTGAGTCTTTCTCACCAAAAGCTAATCGATGGACCTATCAACTATTCTAGATTCTCTAAATTTTACTCTCTAAATCAATTAAATGAAAGTGAGAAGGTGCGTACCCGAGAAGAACTACCATATTTATAATTTGAAAAAAAAAACTGTTGGAACAGATAGATTGCTTCTGCAAACATATGGGACGTGCTTTAAATCAAAGTGTGGACGGAATTTGGTTTCAACAGTTCTCAAAAGAGCAAAGCAAAACATACACAGGCAAGTAGCGGATTTCACCAATGGAAGTATGAGCACTTGAAACTACAGCCAAAAATCTGAGACCATTTGATCTTTGAGGCAAAAACAGCAAGTTCTGCTTTCTATCGCTGGAGCATGACTTCTTTCAACGATAATGCCGGAGCTTGGCACCCACCTTAGCCAGTGCGGTCAGTAGAGAAACACTGGTGCATTCGAAATGGAAGAGTGTTCAACATCTACCTCCCTTTCCCATAACAGGGACTTCGACTAAAATGACTGTCCCCGTTACAGTGCAGCGAAATCAAAAGGATGCACGCTCCATTACCTTGTAAGCTGCCGAAACGGGCTGTCATGCAGGGAATGCACCATTGAATTTCGATTCATGATGTCCTTTATCTGATAAGAGTGAAGCAGCTTCTTCGCCCTCGCGTAGCAGGAAAATCTAGTGGTTGTTAGCAATTTCGCTGTACGGCGGAGGCTTACTGTAGGGCAGAAGCGGTATTTATTGAGCACGCCGAGATTAAACCTAATAGGTACAATCTGCCTCCGAGATTCAGAAGCGCGTCGAGTGCAGACCACACACACAAGTGACGACGGCCTTCCACAAAATGTAATGTTTTCTGCCAATGAAATGATTAGCCTGTTGCAGTTGTATTCTATCAGTTGTCACTAATTACAACTATCATTTACCAACTATCAGCTATCACTATGAACCACTAGTTATAAGATTTACTTGGAGGCCGTCGTCACTTGTGTTGTGTAGGTCTGCACACGAACCGCTTCTGTTTCTCGGAAGCAGAGGGTACTTTTCTAAAAAGTCACTTACCGAGTAGTGTGCTGCGGTTGACAAGTGATTTTTCTTCCTATGAATGACGTATCTTGAGCCCTTATGGATGACAAGAGTTTGCGGATTTCGCGTGGCCTAAACAACCACAATCAGCAATGTTCTCTTCTTCCCTATCAACAACTGCTCGACGAAGCTTACTTTGGATGTGTGTACAGACGAAGCTGTCACATGGCCTTGTTCCGTAGCATCAGTGGATTGAGACGAAATCGAACTCTGTTCTCTACCAACGGCAGTACCGGGAGAGACTTGACGCCAGTGACTGCGACCCAGAGGCGAAAAAGTGTAGTGTTCAGCCGCACGCGGTTTTTCCGATTTGACTATCTTCTTCATCAATGTTTCTATGACAATATCCTTTTTGCGGTTCAAGCGCCTCAACTTCTTGATTTCCACTCTCAGTTTTTCCATCGCCAAGGCACATTCTAAAGTGTGTAATCAATTAACTGACCAAGTACATAAATGAGAAAGCGGACGCAAAACGACACCTTCTTCGTTGTGCTGTCCATGATCGTCAGCGACAGAAGCGATATGATCAGCAGGATTAATATGCGGTCTTGGACGGCTATTCACTTCCTAGACGAGCTTTAAAACTCCATAATTTTTTAGACAACAAAAAGACCAATATTCATCAGATCACGATAAAGGTCTACGCTAAGAGAGTCAAGATGGAATTAACTCTCTACTTTTTTCTCTTGCATACATTTAACACTAAACCGTTCGATGGCTGGCCAGTTCTCAGAGCTGCTCTTCGATAGGAGCTCCTGAATTAATAACCATCAATCAATGTAAAAAGCCAGGTAACCACGAGAATGTGTCAAATTTAAGTTGTTTCCAGTCGTACACACTCTTCGAGCATCGCAAGCAACACCTTTGTTGTATTGGGTTGCTATCATACTTTATACCAACGCGGACTAAGGTCACAGGTCAAAGACTGGCTAAAATCGGTAAAAAGTAGCGATGGATACTGACGATACGTGGGCTGTACCCTACATGTATAAAGCTGTCAAGCTTTATAGGTATCCATTAGTTTCAGTGCATTTTACTAGAATGCCTACGTCACGTACCGAGAGTCCGATTGTTCCCGAAGTGACGTGGATTCGCGACTTGATAATAGTTGCGTGCAAGGTTGTTACCAGTTTTGCTGATTTTCCAGTGTAATGTTGAGCACAGCTTAATCCGCGCGACATCTAACGCAAATGGCCGCCGCCACGTCTTTCCGGGACGACGCATACCAACTCTAGAAGATGATGGACTGCTTTTGTAAACAGGTCATGGGCTTAGTAGATAACGCGCGCGCTGAGGCGTGGTACGGGTATGCGCAGGATCTAAACTTAAATTTGGTTTTAAGACTAAAAAACTGAGCTTGTTCCCAAAATATCACTGATAACTCGTGAGTTCAACAAGCTTTTTTCGCTGCAGGAATCCTAGGTCACCACTGATCAGGAGTTGACTTTGGTTGTCAAGGGATAGTTTTGTGATGCAGAAGCGGGAAGTCGATTTCATGTCTAGCCAACTTACACTTAATACTCCTAGCAACCCTTACCCTTTACTCTACAGTCAGATTGACGAATCTCGCTACCGCGTAGCCACTCCAGTGCAGTGGTATCACCGCGCCGCCGCGTGGGCCTCCCTAATTACCTTAACACGACTTTATAGATGCGACCATACGTTTAGTGTGAGGATGGTACAAAATAGGGGCAACTCGAACTTAACTCGTACTCGACCCAACCCACACATCAAAAAATGTCGGTGACCATTTTTTAGTTCACCAACAAGGTGTTCCATTAATTGTAGCCGTCATATATAATTCATAACTATTCCTTTCAACAGTTATGCTGGACCAGCAGAAGCCGCTTTCCACATCCACAATATCAACAGTTGGGAAAAATGATGAGTATTCAGCAACAACGAGATACTTACCAGATAGATGCGTGGTCGTGAATAGAATCGTCAAGCGGGTCATGTACGGGATCCTTCATCCGAAATCTCAACACCTACAGTCTAAAAGAATGAGCTAATTAGGTTCTCATAGTAGAAGTTATATATTTGATACGAAAATTGGTTACAGCACGAAAAAAGGTGCCCGAACCGAAATGTACGAAGCTAACAGCTGGGGAGAGAAGAGCGCTCCTCCAGTAAGAGTGAAAGAGGAGAGGGAGGGGAGGGGGGGGGTGTCTACGGATAACCTGAACTCCGCCTTCGAACCGCCACAATCTCATGCTCCCACCTGCAATCTCTCGCCTAAGCAGCGGATCATGACTCTTGACAACTGTGATATCACACATTCAACCATTCGCCACACTGTGATTGGATCACGCACCCCGGAGTCCCCCCTCTCCTCCAAGGCATAGACCGGTTGACAGAAAACTTGAACTCAGTCCTTTAACACGTTGACGACCGCGCTATTTTTCGCTGTCTGGCGTGTGGGACCGCGCGCATTATTTTGACCGCGCGAGTGTGACATGACATCATGTCACACGGTCCCACGAGAACTCCTTTTTTCTCAGGAAGTGTGTATTTGTTATCTTTCTTGTGTGGTAGGTCTCCGATTATGCGATTTTGGCCATTTTAGCGATTCCTGTGATTTGATCATTATTCAAACATTTTTAGAAAAACTCGATAGCCCATCAACCGAAGCTTCTTTCCAGGGACCACGCCTTTTGTAACAATGCCTAAGTATGGCGCATACATCACGTAAATAAGTTACCTAAAATGTTTGAAAACCAGCTTAAAAAAGACTGTGACATGACATCATGTCACACGGTCCCACGTGGCCGAAAGAGTGTGGTATGACATCATACCACCACTCTCAAACAGTCGGCTTACGATTACTGGATTCTGATGGACTTCACTTTTCGCATGGTAATCGGCGGGCTAATCATTCCGAGTCCTCCCTCAAAAACATGGTCCTAAGCAGGGTCGGCTACCGTTGGGACTTTTTGAAAAATTCTCACGACCCCACTCCTTCATGAGAGATTTCATACGACCCCTTCTCCTCGACTTCTTTTTCCCTCAAAAATCACGATCGAGGGGGGAGGGGGTATATAACTACCATGAAACCGCAAAATTTCTCTCTCTCTTTACTTTCCCTCATTTCAACATTTTCTAGGGGAGGGGGTATATACGCACGCTGAAACGGCAAATTTTCTCCCGCGCGCTCTCACCTCATTACATGTAATTTCGTGCTACCGAAACAAGTACGACCCCCCCCACCACAAACTTCAACAAACTACGACCCCCCCGTTGGTACTTGTCCCAACGTAGGGTTGACCCGGTCCCACGCTCTCACCATCCACTTGGGATTTGGAGCCAAACCAGACGCTGTTCTAATCGTCTGTGCTCTGGCCATGCACGGCAGTGAACGCACGTAGAGTTTACAGTCGATATCTCGAAGTCTGATTGGGCGTGTCACCGGAAATGACGTGGCAGCCACCGCACTTGATAGATGTTGTGTGGATAAAATACTCCGCCAGATATCAGCAAAGCGTGTTGGAAGCAGCTTATCCGCGCAACTTCTATCAAGTGCGGTGGCTGCCACGTCATTTCCGGTGACACGCCCAATCAGACTTCGAGATATCGACTGTAAGTAGTCACGTAATCCTCTGATCCTAAGAACCTTCCTCCTTGCCATTTAAACTGAGCCAGGCGCCGTTCTTTTAATTGTCTGTGCTCCGACCATTTGCGGCAGGACCACTGAGTAAAATTCAAGTAGTTTGTAAACTGAGGGGGGGGGGGGAAGGACTACGAGGTGCATTAGTGGCGCTGGTGCACTTAAGGAGGCATCGCGTCATTCCAGCAACATTAATCTCAATTTTTGAAAGGGGAAATAAACTCTACGGTGCGTGTTCACCTTCACCTTCACACACGAAGTTAAGTTATTTATGGCCGGAGCGTCCTTTACGTGTTCGCTATACAGTGCTATAATGTGAGCAAATAAGGAAAGATTAAAACCCTTCCGATTCCCATAACCAATCAATTTATAATCTGTAGACGTCTGTCAACTGGAGATTCGAGGTTCCAGAGGTACCACCAAAGTTGTAAGAATTTTTATCCTTCCCTAGAAGGAAATAACTAGCCAATTATGAATTAAAACAAAGATATTCGCACCCATAACACGTAAAATCATCGCATTTTGAAAGGAAGTAAATCTAGATATGCATAAAGCTTGGTGGCACAGATAAAGCAGCAACAAGGAGAAAGAAGATTTCAAAAGAATCATGAGTGATTCCCTCAACACTGACAAAGAGAAAATTTCGTCAAAAGTAAAAGGCATGTAAACTCAAGAAACCATTGAAAGAAGAACAAAAAAAGTACAACCTCCATTTAGATCGTCCCATTGGACGACAGCTGAAAAGGCAAGGACATCAACCCGCCTCTGGCTCTGCTTGCTTAAGATAGCCATTCCCTTCTGCTCATGAATTTGTGGTAAGGTGGGGAGGGGAGGGGGCCAGAGTCAACCCTGCGTTGCGCAGTTCGCAACGGCACGTTGAGAGATCCTCAACGCACGCTGTATGGGCGGAGACGCAGACGGCTCGAGCATGCGAGTGTGAATGTTCGCGCGAGAGAACGTGTCTAATCGGGCGAAACTGCGCAACGTGGCCGTTGAGAACTGCGCAACGCAGGGTTGACTCTGGGGGTGCTGGCTGCTGCAATTGAACAGCGACTGGCAACGAGACAATATTCAGAAGCTATTAAATCTGCTGATGGTTTTGAAATTCAGGAGGTTCAGAAAAAGGAACACAGAAAAAGAGTGAGCTCGTCGATGTGCTAGTCATATCATGCCCTAGGGAAGCAATCCCATGGCCGATGTCAGACTCGATTGGAGCGATTTGCACCAATTGCAGGATCGAGAGATGCGAGCGACGGGAGATTTACACCGCCGACCACCGATAATTCGGCGCCATCAGTTCGTAAATCTCCCGTCGCTCGCACTGCGAGCGACGGGAGATTTACCCCGCCGAATACCGATACACACGGCGCCGCTCGGGTAAATCTCCCGTCGCTCGCATCGCTTGAGCGATCCGTCGCTCCTGCAATTGGTGCAAAATCGCTCCAATCGCAAAGTCTGACATCGGCCATACCGCTGCACGTGCCCTTCACTTTGCCCTTTGAACTAGCTGCTCCTGACTTACACAGATCTTATTTTCTAGGAACTAGTGATGGTTTATTTCGAGTAAAATGACGAGGGGATACATGCCATTCGGGATTAGTCTATCTGTATAAACCAAGTAGTCATATGTTGCTATCTGACGCATGGGCAAACTTGGCGAAAGACTGAAGAATAATATGAACTGGATACGCAGCCATTATTCTTAAGGCGCGACTCCGCCTCCCTCAGTTTCCGGTGTTGACCTCGGAGTTCCGCCTATTATCTGCTTTCCCGTAACATGTTACTCTGCAAAAAAGTGTTCAGTGGAGCGCAACAAATTTTAATGTGCTTAAAAACGAGATGCCAGTTCTCTGTCGGAAAATTGGAAGACAGGGGAAGTCTAAGAAAGCTAAAAAAAAATAGCCTAAGAAAAAATGAAAACGAGATCTCAAAGCATTGAAGAAATGAAAAACGCGTATAATTAGCCTTCAAAATTTGCAGATCTTCCATCACTTTTCTTTTATTCGCTAATTGCGTCCTACCTGAGCAAAAGCGTCGAGACCCTACAACCTTGCCATACAGGCTGCGGAAACCATTAAACAGTACTGTACAGAGTCCCTCTAGCCCTCTTTATACTTCGTTTTCTTTCTGCTTCCTCCATAAGCCTGTAGCTATTTAAGGTGGATAGTCTTCAGCACTGTGTTGCCCTCAAAAATCAGTAATGTGCTTCTTGTCAGCGCATCCCTAGAGTGAGACTTGAAGAAAAAACGACGGACAATCCGATTTTAAGCCATTCTGCCGAAAAAGCTCTGCGCTCACGCTCGATCACTGTTCCTACAAGACTAATAAGCATGGTTGATGTTACCCACCAGTTCGAACGGCTCCGCGCAATAAATCAAAGCGGAAACATATGGGCCTAGCACAGGGAGACACGACGAGAGAACGTGTGCGCAGACGTACTAGGTTCCAATAGCTAAGTTGTCCTCACAATGTAAAGAGTTCCATACGATAAGCTCCAATTCGCGACGATACGGCCCATTCGGATCACCTGTATCACCTGTCGTCCCGTTGATCATCGAATTGCTCGAGCGGGCGCCAGCAACGTCTCCATTCGTCCCTGTCGCGTGCAGAGTGGTCCAGTGGATCCTCCTCGCTCGAGGGACACGAAGTCGTTCATTCCTTTCGTTCAGAGCTTTCGTGAAGAAGTCTGACCATC